GTTGGCCTGCGCCGCCTTCTCCGCTTCTGCTGCTGCTGCTGCTGCTGCTGCTGCTGCGTCTGCTCCCGCTTCCGCTGCTGCTGCTGCTGCATCTTCAGCAGCAACTAAGTGCAGCGGCTGCCACGCCAAACTTGTCACTGGCTGCTTGTGGCCCTTCAGGGGGGCCCCCGCGAGGGCCCCCCCGTCAGGGTCCCAGATGCAGACTGTGCCGTCCTGCCCAGCAGCCCAAACCCTAAACCCTAAACCCTAAACCCTAAACCCTAAACCCTAAAGCCCAGACGCACAGTCCTCTTGCTTGCAAGCGGGAGGCGCGTCTGCGCGAAAGACGGCGCAGTGCCGCAGCTGGGCCGGCCTCCTCTTAACAACTAGGGTTTAGGGTTTAGGGTTTAGGGTTTAGGGTTTGACAAACCATTCCGGCAGAAGCAAGCAGCTGGCCGTGAGGAGCCCAAGAGACACAAAGCACCCAATTGCTGTGGGCTCTGAGGGTTTTCAGGGGCGTCTCCGTGTTGAGGTCCCACAGCCGAACCTAAACCCCAAACCCTAAACCCTAAACCCTAAACCCTAAACCCTAAACCCTAAAGCCTAGAGGCCCGGATAAACCCTCAACTCTAAACCCTTCAGCTTAGCAGTGCTTCCGCTCCTCTTGGCCGGTCGCTTGCGGTGGCATAGCCGCCTATTACTACTTCCTAAACCCTAAACCCCAAACCCTAAACCCTAAACCCTAAACCCTTAGATCACCGTGGTATCCCCTCCTGCTGTTGCCAGTCTGCTGCCTTCAGGGCTGAACGCCGTCGCCAATATTGCTTCCTCATGGCCTGCAAAGCGCCAAACCCTAAACCCTAACCGCTAAACCCTAAACCCTAAACCCTAATACAAGAAGAAAGATATGCGACTCTGCAGAATTAACTCGCAGGGCCTACCTGTGCGGGATGCTCTGTAGGGTTTAGGGTTTAGGGTTGAGGGTTTACGGATGGGCTCTACGGTTTGACCCCTGGGGTTTAGGGTTTAGGGTTTCTGCTGCAGGCCCTGGGCTTGGCGCGCTTTGCCCAGGGTTTAGGGTTTAGGGTTTAGAGGGAGTGGGGTTTGGCCACGGCGCCCCAGACCTACAGAGGACTTAGGGTTTAGGGCTTAGGGTTTAGGGTTTAGGGTTTGCCTGGGAGGGCTGAGGAGCAGCGCGTGACGGGAGAAACCCTAAAAGACGCGAGAGGTCTAAAATTGATTTTAAAAATTTGTTCTGCTCCTTTGGCTCCAGAAGCAGCAAAAGCAGCTCCTAGGGTTTCCTTTATTTCCGTGCTGCTGCTGCTGCTGCTGCAGCTGCTGCTGCTGCTGCTGCTGAGGGACAGCGAGAAGCGCCGCCCCTCCAGCGCAGACAAAGCCTCTTCATCATTTGCTGCTGCTTCCCGCAGCACCTGCAGCAGCAGCTGCTCCAGCTGCGACTTGGTGATGCTGCGAGCAGCAGTGCAGCAGCAGCAGCAGCAGCAGCAGCCCTCTAGGGTTTAGGGTTTAGGGTTTGGGGTTTAGGGTTTAGCCCGGTCTGGTGAGCCCCAGCCCTCTCGGGCTCCCCCCTGCCGCCAGCCACCTCACACTGCAGAAGACAGCCCGCGCCTAGGGTTTGGCGCTTAGGGTTTAGGGTTTAGGGTTTAGGGTTTAGGGTTTGGGACGCACGCAAGGGGCACTGAAAACTGGCAGCCAACGGGTTCTTCTTTTTGGTTATAAAACTGCATCACAAGTTCGGAGACTTCAGGTGTATCTGCAGCTTTCCGCTTCCGCGATTCTGCTGCTGCTGCTGCTGCTGCTGCTGCAGGGCCCGCC